CTCCTCTTATAACTGTAAGAAGAGACCCATTAAAGACCTTCTGCTATATAAATACTGTTAAAAGAACTGGAATAACACCAGTATTAATGATATGTTAAACTTTATTTATTCATCCAAGTTTATGAAGCTCAGTAGCAAATATATCATTATTTTCTTCTAGTAGTTTATTTAGAGCTTGTTCTTATTCTTCAGTTAATTCTCGTTGTTCTACTGATTTGTCACTTTCCTTTTCTTGGTTAAGGAAGAATGTATTGATTTCTTCATTATTAGTTGATCCAAATCCACCAGTTCCATGAGTAGATTCTTCAAGTTCTTGTCGAATAAGAACAGATTTCATTCTTTCAATTGGTGCAAGTTGTAAAAATACTGCTTGGACAATTCGTTCTTGTAGTTGGATGGTATATGGAACTTGAGAATTATTGTATAACAATAATCCAATATTTCCAGTATAATCAGAGTCAATAGTTCTAGCTTTCACTTCAATTCTTTGTCAAAGAGGAGTGAAATATGAGTTGGCATACAGTTTCAAAAGGTATTTCGAGTATGATAAATAAATTGATATAAGTGATTTGTTGAGATTATATTTCGATTGGTTTTTCTCCAGTGTATTTTACATCAAATTCAGCATCATTTTCATGAGCTTTTTGAGGTATTGCACCTTTATTGTCGTCATTATAAATCTTGATAGCCAGGTTTGCTTCTTTTTGAACCAGTAACTCGGTGGAGTCAATGTATAATAATGTTCAAGTATCTTATCAAGTTCATCAATCATTTGATTTTTCATTTTGGTTTTAACTTTTGAAGCTAGTTATTGTAAGGAAGTGATCATGTTCTCAGCTTGGATTAATATCTCTTCAAGTTCAGAATCTGGTTTTGGATATATTGGTGCTTTATCCTTGTCGATGAACAGGATGGTTTTTGGAATTTCAGGTTTTCAGCAATCTTCACATTGGTTGCTATCATAGGGAATTAAACATTCAGTGTATAGTTTGATATTAATATATTCCAGTTTAGCGAGTTATATATGTCATTCTGGTGAAATTTGTTGATAGATTTGTTGAAATATTTCATTGGATGAAACTTTTTCAGAACTGGTATATTGGATTAGTTCTATTTGTTCATCAGCATCTTCAGGTCGAATGTACCGGAATAGGATAGCTTTTCCAATTTCATTACAAATGAGATATACATCTATTAGAAATCCTTGCTCTCTAAGCTTCCGAATAGTTCTATGATTATTTTATCATCTTTCTTGGTTAAACCAATAGATGCATTGTTCTTCATATGTGCAAAAGTATCTCTTGTCATAGCATCCAGTAATGTATATGTACTTTGCTTTATCTCAGTATCCACAAACTGTACATTGAGGTAAGTTTAGTTTCTTCTCTTTATGACATTGTTCACATGCTCTAGAGATAGTTCCATCAGCTAAACAATATGATGTTCCAAAATATTCATCTATATATTCTTTGTATTCGTAGCATTGCATTATATGTTCAGATCGAATTCCATTTTCGAGAGCTAATTTCATAGTGAGGTATTTGTTGGAATTTCAATTTTTGTTAAATATTTGTCACACTACTTCTTCTGCCTAATTATTTTTAGTTTTATATTCAGCATTATATCATTTATAACAGAGAATAGTAATCCATTTTGCAAGATTATCATGGCATTTTTGACATTTGTCTTCCTTTCGATATAATTGCTTATAGCATCAACATTGTCAATTTGAATCTTTTCAATCATAATGCCAGTCATCATCTCAGTCTTCAGTTTGTTGGAACTATTTATTAAGTTCAATAAATTGTTTCCAGGTAAATTTTCACCATTGGAGTTTGATATCATCTTGATAACATTGAACTTCTCGGTATAAAGATACACTACGAGCAATTTCTTCAGAAATTGGATGGTAATCAATTTAATTTAGGGTGCAGATATTATTTTCAATGAGAGTTCATTCTTCTTTTATGATTATTCGTATTTCTTCTTTATTATTAAAGGTAACGATCTTTTTAGTTTTCTGGAGTTGGGTTTGTCATTGTTGTTGTTGCATTAAGAAAGATCATTTTTCCAAATATTGTTCTTCAACTTCTAATTCGTCATTAGTTGAGCTTTCATCAGAGGTATCTGAGTCATCAGACCCATCAGTATTAGATAAATTATAACCTTGATCATAGATGAATTTGATGTTGGCTTGTCCTTTCTGACTATTCCATTCAAAAATCATAATATTCTTTTTAAAATCCAAATTAGCTTTGATTTTGTTAAGTCAATCCATTCCAACAATTATGCTATAAGTTTGTGTAGAAGTAACATTGATGTCAGCTGGAATAGTGAGTTTGTCAACAGTAATTGAAAGTTATCGATAGCTCCAAGCAGTGTTGTACATTTTCGATGTCCGCGTCATATATGGCGGACGCGGACATGTTGGGACATTGTCCAATGTCCGCGTCCGTCATGTGTCCGTGCATTAGATTGTCATCGGACAGTGTCCATGTGATTTGCGCCAGACACAGACATATTAGGGACATTGTCCAACGTCCGTGTCCGCGGTGTCCCGACCAATAGAATTTATACTTATCTGTCTTTTTTAATAATGCCGCCACTAGCCATATCATTAGACAAATACATTATTAAAACCAAGGAAAAAATCAATAAGAGTAACCTTAAAGTCTATTGCAAAGCATGTATCGAAGTATTGGGCCGGAATGAAGGGGAAAAAATTTTTTTCCTAATAAAACGGATAGGATAATCCAGCATCTAAAAAAATGTGTACATTTCACGGAAAAAACGACACCAGAACAAAAGGAGGAAATTTTCGGTCTATCTAAGAACTCTGAAGCTTCCCAAACAAGGGAAAAACGACCAGGTATATATTAAAAGAATTTTTTCATAAAATTATATCTAATTTTTTTATTATTAGTTCCATCTAATTCGTCATATGATGCCACATCCACATCCTCAAGATCTTCAGCCCGGAAGGTTATTATACGATCGTCTTCCTATGGACTCGACAATTATATTGTTAGGTCCTTATCACACCACGACAGGGAAAAATTTAAAGTTCTCTTACTAAGATTAACAGTATCGTGTGGATGGGCCTTACATTGGGTTAATACGCCTGAGGCAAAAGAATTGTTTGAATTTTTGAATCCCCACCTTAAACTTCCCGATCGTCGAGCTCTTGGCGGACAAATTTTGGAGACAGCCGTTTCCCAAGAAGATAAAGCAATGCGGGAAGCACTTCGTGAAGATCCAATCGGTGTGACTCTGACGTTTGATGGGTGGACAAATGTGAAAAATGAACAATTATTAGGGGTAATGATTATTACTTCAGAAGGACGACCATACGTGTGGAAAGCGACGGACATTAGTACGGAAAGAGAATCTCACGTGGAGGTAATGGAAAAAACAAAAGCCATGATCGATGAGCTAAAAAATATGGACGTACAGGTCTCCGCGGTTGTAACAGATAGTGCCGGTCCTTATGCAGCATCCAGGTATTTTTATTTAATTTTTTATTTACTGTAATTTATTTTTTATTAATGTTAGTTTATTCATTTAGGCGAAGATTAAGACTAACCCACAGAAATATTGTATTCTTACCGTGTTTTGCCCACCAACTCAACCTATGCGTCGGAGAAGTATTCAAAGAATCGACAGATTTGAAAACTACAATGAATCAAGCAATTCGGTTAGCTTCTTATTTTAGGAATGCGAATAACAAATACTTCATCGCAAAACTACGGGACCAACAAAAAATAACATATGAAAGGTATTATGGAATAGCGGTTCCGGCAGAGACTCGGTGGAATAGCTACTATACGGTAACAACAAGTTTATTGCGAACTCAACAAGCCTTGCAGGTATGTATGTATTCAATTTTTTACATTATTTATAAATTTAAACCTTAATAAATTTTATTGTTAGATTCTGGCGATTAATTTTCAACCCCCACATACCCAAAGTCAACGACGAACTGGAGAGAACTTAACCATTCATCGTGAAATCTTTGAAATTATCGACTCGGACGCATTTTGGACAAATTTGACGACAATCACGGAAATTTTGTATCCCTATTGCAAAATGTTGAACATTTTGCAACGCGACAATGCAAGATTAGTACAAGTTATACATGGTCTTGCGTA